GGGGGAGCGCCACGCCCGCCCGCAGCGAGCATGGCGTCCACGCGCGCGAGAGACCAGACCGCAGCCGGGCGGGACGCGCCCCGTGGGAGGTCTCCGGGCCCTGCGACAAGCAAGCACGCGTGTGAGGCGGCATCTTGGGCCCCAGGGCGGGAGTCCTTCTGACCAGGCGCAGATGCTGAAAACGTCTCCCAATACGAACCGCCAAAAAAACATTTTAGCCATCTTTTAAAATATACGGCTGCCGGGCGCGGTGGCTCAAACCCGTCATCCCGGCACTTTGGGAGGCCGGGGCAAGAGGACTGCCTGAGCCCAGGGGTTCGAGACCAGCCTGGGCAACTTGGTGAGACCTCGACTCTACAATAAATCAAAAAATTAGCTGAGCGTGGTGGCATGCACCTGTGGCTTCGACTACTTGGAAGGCTGAGGCGGAAGATCGCCTGAACCCAGGAGGTCAAGGCTGCAGTGGCTGTGGTCTCCAGCCTGGGCAACGGAGTGAGACTCCAAATCAATCAATCAATCAATCAATCAATGTGAAAGTCCAATTTAATTAATTAATTAATTAAAAAATAAGGCCAGGCACGGTGACTCAAGCCTGTAATCCCAGCACTTCGGGAGGCTGAGGCAAGAAGACTGTCTGAGCCCAGGGGTTTGAGACCAGCCTGGGCAAATTGGTGAGACCTCGTCTCTACAATTTAAAAAAAAATTAACTGGGCGTGGTAGCACTCACCTGTAGTTCTGGGTACTTGGAAGGCTGAGGCAAAAGCAGGTTGATGCTGGGGTGACTGTGAGCATGCCACTGCACTCCAGCTTGGGTGACAGAGTGAGACTCTATCTCAAAAAACAAATAATAAATAATAAAGATAATAAAAATAAAAACATATAGCTGAGGTGCCAAAAATGAAGAGAAATTATCAGAGCTCAAAAATGACAATAGGCCAGGCACACGGGCTCACATCTGCAATCTCAGCACTTTGGGAGGCCAAGACAGGAGGATTGTTTGAGACTAGGAGTTCAAGACCAACCTGGACAACATAGTGCAACCCTGTCTCTGCAAAAATAAATAAATAAAAAGTTAACTGGATGTGGTGGCATGTGCCTGTAGCTCCAGCATTTGGGAGGCTGAAGTGAGAAGATTGCCTGAGCCCAGGTCAAGGCTGCATTGAGCTGGGATTGTGCCACTGCATTCCAGCCTGGACAACAAAATGAGACCTAGACTCAAAAAAAAAGGAAAGAGAGAAAGAAAGAAGGAAGAATGGAAGGAAGGAAGGAAGGAAGGAAGAAGAAAGAAAAGAAAAGAAAGAAAGAAAGAAAGAAAGACTTAAATGACAATGAAGCACAAATCCAAAGAGACCATTGGGAACAGAGGCATGGCTGTCCTAAGGTATCTGCAGATCCAGGTGGCCAAGAACTTCAGTTTAATGAGTAGACAAAACCTGAAGCTGAGCAAAGTGAAAACCCAAATCAGAAACCCACACCTAAAGCACAGAGCAGAGAAATATGACACCCATGGTGGGTAAACTTGGAGAGAGAAGCCTCTCAAAAGAAGCAGATGCAGAAGGCTCAGCCTTGACTCTGCGTGAAAAAAAAAAAGAATGTTACCCCTGAACACCCCTCACCACACATCGACCTGCAAGTAGGTCTGGAGGTGGAATCCACAGGACTTGTGTGGCAAAAACAGCAATACAACAAAAAACAAACAAACAAGAAACAACATAAGAAAAAATAGGTCTGGCATGGTGACTCATGTCTATAATCCCAGTATTTTGGGAGGCTGAATCAGGAGGATCACTTGAGCCCAGTAGATCAAGACCAGCCTGGACAACATAGCAACATCTCATCTCTACAAAAATTCAAAACATAGGCTGGGCACAGTGTCTCAAGTCTGTAATCCCAGCACTTTGGGAGGCTGAGGTGAGGGGATTGCCTGAGCCCACAGGTTCAAGAACAGCCTGGGCAACTTGGTAAGACCTTGTCTCTACAATAAACTTTAAAAAATTAGCCGGGCATGGTGGTGCATGCTTGTAGTTTCAGCTACTTGGAAGGCTGAGGCGGAAGGATCACCTGAGCCCAGCAGGTGGATGCTGGGGTGGCCGTGAGCATGTGTGCCACTGCACTCCAGCCTGGGTGATGGGGTGAGACACCAACTAAAAAAAAAAATTCAAAACATTAGCCAGGTGTGATAGTGTATGCCTATAGTCCCCACTACTTGGGAGACTGAAGCAGGAGAATCACTTGAGCCCAGCATGTTGAGACTGTGGTAAGCCATGATTGTGCCACTGCACTCCAGCCTGGGTAACAGAGGGAGACCTTGATCTAAAAAAAAAAAAAAAAAGTAAGTTTAAAGAAATAGTAGCTCCCTATGTAGTTGGCAGAAACAAATGGTAAAAATGCTTTCTGGAATAACTCACCTTAAACTCAGGTCTCAAGGAATTTGCACAGAAAAAGCCCCAAGGAACATGAGCTGACATGTTAAAAAAACATCTTAAACTGCACAACACAAGATGCTTTAGGCGAGAGTGGCACAGGCAGTAAACAAAAGACTCAGATATTAAAACACTTTAGATATTATAATTATAATATAAAATAAGGACGTTTATATGCTTAAAGAAATAAAAGTTGGTGATTAAAGGCATAGGTAAGGGACAAGAGGTTATTAAAAATGACCAGGAAGATTTGGGGGGAAAAAAGCAAGTACTTGTATAAATTATGTAAAAATGTGATCTTTGAAACTGGAAACCCAGTGGACAGATTAAACAACAGATTGACATAGCTGAAGAGAGAATTAGTAAGCTGAAGAACTTACCAGAATGAAACACAGAGAGACAAAGAGATGAAAAATATGAGAGGTGAAAAGACATAGAGGATGAACAAGGACTTGACTATATCCAATTAGAGTTCCAGAAGGAAGTGGAAAATTCCAGAACTGATGAAAGACAAAATTACAAGATCCTGGAAGCTCCCCCAACCCAAGCATGATAAATAAAAAGAAATCTACACCAAGCACTTACCATAGCAAAATGGCTGACCATGAAAAGATGGATGACTCATGAAGTAGACTGACATCTGACTTCTCAATATCAACAATTGAAGCCAGAAGGCAGTGGAATAACACCCCAAAGTGCTGAGAGACAATAACTGTCAATCTTGAACATCTTTCAAGATTGAGGTTGAAAAGATACATTTTCAGATGAAAACTGAGAGTACTTACAACTAACAGACTTTCATCTAAAGAAATTCCAAAGGATGTTCTTCAAGAAGGAGAATAATTACGGAAAGAAAGTCTAAGATTCAAGTAGGATTGGTGAACAAAGAAATATGTAAACGTGGAAGTAAATTAAATAAACATTGATTGTATTACAAA